TGACCTCGGCTTGGAAGGACAACACTTGACTAAGTTGTGCCACACCTTGGCCTAGATGTGCCACACCTCGGTGTAGGTCATACCACTCCAGGACAAGATCGCTTAGGTGTAAAGGTAACATCTCGGCCTTGGTGATGAACACCTCGGCCTAGATAATGACATCTCGGCCAATATGTCAAGGCAAAGGTGGAGGTCAAACAAAGGGTTCCAAGATACTTCTAGACTGAAGATGACCTCGGCTTGGAATGATCCAGGCTTGACATAACCTAGGCTTGGCATGACCTAGGCTTAACATAACCTTGGCTCGAGACACCAAGGAAGGAACAAAGCATGCACACAACACTTAAGCAAACAAGACAAGATTCATGAATGCAAACTTAACAAGATGAAGTTATGTAAATGAACATGAACATGACATGAATACGGGTTGTTACAGCATCTTAACATGGCAAAACATACAAATGCATGCGAACATGACTAGGACATAAAATGTGGGTTGTTACAGCAATTACCCTACACATGACCTAGAGCTAGCAGCAGTGATTTTTGCCTTGAAGATTTGGAGGCACTACCTTTATGGTGAGAGATTCGAGGTATTCTCGGATCATAAGAGTTTGAAGTACTTGTTTACACAGAGAGACTTGAATTTAAGGCAGAGGAGGTGGATGGAGTTCATTGAGGACTACGATTTCAAGTTGGACTATCACCTGGGTAAGGCCAATGTTGTGGCCGATGTCCTTAGTAGGAAATCCATTAGTGATGTAGCTTGTATAGCCATCCGGAAGTAGGAGATGTTGGGTGCACTTGGCGAGTTTGATTTGCTTCTGGGCGAATCCGTTGAGGTTGCGGCCTTGTTTTCTGTTGTTACGCAGCCTACACTTGTGACTTGAGTGTTAGAGGCACACGGAGGTGACCATGAGGTAGAATCCCTCCGAGAGAAGATCTCTAGTGGAAAAGTTGAGAAGGGTTTGACGGTGTATCTCGACCTGAGTGTGAGATACCGAGAATGTTTGTTTGTGCCGGAGTCTTGCCGAGAGGAGGTACTCCGAGAGTTTCACCATTCACGCCTTGTGGTGCATCCGGGAGGCACCAAGATGTATCGTGATTTGGGTCGCTAGTTTTGGTGGCGGGGTATGAGGAAGGATGTGGCAGTGTTTGTGTCTAAGTGCCTCACTTGTCAGCAAGTGAAGGTTGAGCATCAGAGGCTAGCGGGTTTGTTACAACCCTTGCCTATTGCCGAGTGAAAGTGGGAGCATGTCACTATAGACTTGGTTGTAGGCCTTCTGAGGATTCAGCGGGGTAGTGATACTATTTGGGTGATTGTAGACCGGTTGACTAAGTCGGCGCACTTTATCCCTATGCGCGTGAGAGATTCGGTAGATCATCTTGCCGACTTGTATATTTGGGACATAGTGAGGTTGCACGAGGTCCCAGTGTCGATCGTCTCAGATAGAGATCCTCGTTTACTGCTAGGTTGTGACAGAGTTTGCAGAGTGCCTTGGGCACTAGATTGACCTTTAGTACGGCTTATCATCCTCAGACTGACGGGCAGTTCGAGCACACTATTCAGATCCTTGAGGATATCCTTCGAGGTTGTGTCCTTGACTTTAGTGGGTCGTGGGAGAGGCACTTGCCCTTGGTGGAGTTTGCCTACAACAACAGTTTTCAGTCGAGTATCGGTATGGCACTATTTGAGGCTTTGTATGGCCGACCGTGTAGGTCTCCAGTTTGTTGGGCCGAGGTGGGTGATGCACCTTTGTTGGGCCCAGAGTTGGTGAGGGAAACGACGGAGAAGGTTGGGCTTATCCGTAGGAGGCTTGTTACAGCCCAGAGTCGTCAAAAGAGTTATGCCGATCGTAGGAGGAGGCCTTTAGCATTTGAGACAGGTGATCACGTCTTCTTGAAAATATCACCTAGGCGGGGTTTGATGAGATTTGGTAAGAGTGGGAAGTTGTCCTCTCTGTTTATTGGCCCTTTCAAGATCCTTCAGAGGATTGGCGAGGTTGCCTACCGTTTGGCTTTGTCGCCGTAGTTGTCCGGGGTGCATGGCGTGTTTCATGTTAGTATGCTTCGGAAGTACGAGCCGGATCCATCGCATGTATTGGATTGGACCGACTTAGAGGTGGATGAAGATGCCTCATATGAGGAGAGACCGGTTCGGGTCTTGGATAGGCGGGATCAAGTCTTACGGGGCAAGACCATTCCCTTGGTAAAGGTTTTGTGGAAACATCACGGAGTGGAGGAGGCCACTTGGGAACGTGAGTTGGAGGTCTGTGAGAAATATCCGGATTTGTTTGTTAATGTGTAATCATGTTCTGGAAATTTTGTAATATTAATGAACTTTAAGAGCATCGAATATGTCTTAAGTTGTAAAATATCGTATAAGTTTTGAATAATGGAAGTATTTTGAAACTTGCCTTGAAATGGAAATTTAATGTAACATTGCATATGTTGAATGTATTGTAGAAATGAAAATATATCATGAGTATTGAATATGGTATAGAATTGTGGAATATGTGTTGAAATTGGTAAATTTCAAGGGAAAACATGTTAATAATGCATATTAAATTATATATTGTGATTTGCCTCTTGAAAAGAGATGGGATGACCAGTATTGGGTCAAGTTGATGAATGTTGAGTTGTAAGACTGTTGAGAATTGAGAAAAACATGTTTTTGAAAACTTGTACTTAATTTCGGGGACGAAATTCCTTAAGAGGGGGAAGTTATAGCGATCCTGGTTTTTCCTCTCTTTATTTATTGTATTCCGGACTCGGTTCCGTGGATGTGTTGTTATCTCATTCTCATTTCCATCCTTTACTCTTTGTTTTTGGGTCTTTGGTTGTGTTGGGCAGGTTTGAAATAGGTTGGTTGTGCTTTGAAACCAAAAGTTGATGCCCAGAATTTGGCCTTCACGCTCGAGCGGGGCTTTTGACGCTCGAGCGGGCCCTTTGTTGTTGCTTCTCTGCTCGAGCGGGAGTTTTGACGCTCGAGCGTGAATTTCCATCTCATAATATTTTTCTCTGCAAGTCTTCGTACGCTCGAGCGGGAGTTTTGACGCTTGAGCGTGACCCTTTGATTTTGTTGCTCCGCTCGAGCGGGCACCATCGCCTGCAAAACTTCTGTGAGTATGCATCTGATGCTCGAGTGTGAGTCTGTGTCTGACGCTCGAGCGGGGGTTTCTACGCTCGAGCGAGGCGACTTTTATATCACATCAGGATTTCACTTTTTGGATCACTTTTCAACATCCTTTCTCTCTCTTACTTTTCGAAAACCACCATTGGAGAGCTTCTCTCTCTAAAACCTCACATTTTCTCTAAGAAATCATCTAGCCCTAGTGATCTCCCACCTTTGGGCCTTTGTAAAAGGTTTTGATCTCGGTGTAGGCTATCTTTTGATCCGAAAATCTTGGGATTTGGAGCATCTCTCGAAATTCTTCACCTTCTCCATTGGGTCTCATCTCTTGAGGTAGGGATTCCTACTCATCTTTATGAGCTTTGACATAGATGTTAAGCTTTTTGTATGAATGGTTTAATTTGGGAGGTTAGGGTTTGAGATGTATAATGTTGAAAAGAGGGGTTTTGTTCATTTGACTCATACATATGTGTTTTAGGTTTGAAATATAATTTATTGATGTTGTTGATAATATTTGGACCTTTGGGTCAACATTGAGAAAAAGGGAAAAAAATGCCATGTTTGGGTATATTTGGGTCATTAGTGTAATTAATGACATTTATTATGTAAATATGAAATTGAGTTGAAAATAATGTAATTGGCTTATTATGAGATAGAATGGTGGAGTTTGAATTATTAATCACTCACCTTGGAAATTGTTGATAATTTATCTATTGGATGTAATTATTATTTGTTTAGAAATAATTGCTTTGGGCTATCTATGGAGGATAGTCTTGATTGTTGTAGACAATGCATGATGATTAGGCGAACTAAAACTAATCAATTGAATATGTCATTGAATATGACAATGGGAACAATACATCGAATTTATGTATTGATTGATTATGTATATGATATGTGTTTATATACATTGTGTTGTGTGGGAGGAGATAGGGGATGTACTCCACGGTTTAGGAGAAGATAAGGGATGGACTCCTAAACCGGATTTTATTTGGGAGGAGATAGGGATGGACTCCATTGATACAGCAATTATGTGTATCTATTAAAGTATTGATACAACAAATATGTGTATCATCTATGAAGTATGGAAGTGTTTTATTTGAGATTGATATAGCAATTATGAGTATCCTTTGTGACATATGAAGTGTCTAATATGAGTTGTTATCTCATTTAAAAAGTTTGGTCAGGTTCTGAGCCATAGTTATGAATTGAGAATTGGATAAGAAATGGAAAATGAAATGAAACATGGACACATTTGTCATGTAATTGAAATGGGTTATGCATTGATTTATGTGAGTTAAACATTTATCAAATGCTAATGTTTTAGTTATTGCTCATATTATGTTTAGCATATCTCTACTGGGCGTTGGCTCACCCTATATGGGACATCATTTTCAGGTTCAGGTATTACGCCGCTTCCAAGATCTTTAGCTTGGATGGTTGTGGGAGTTGAAGACTCTTTTGTTTATTTTTATTGTACTACATGTACATCAAGCCAATGACTTATTTATGTAGAGTTAGTACTCTCCTTTTGTAACCAAGTGTTGACTTGGAAAGTTATAAGGCCGTAGGGCATTTACTTTTGTTGTCAACATATAATACATTTGTAAGAAATACTCTGATAAAATGTAATTATGCTTTATTCTCTTATGTCTAAACATGTCAATATTGTATGTTTTATGGGTTTATTTTGAGGGCGTTACACTACATGTCATATGTTATAGATTCAAGATCTTGGATTTATGAATATAGACATGCATATGTCATCTTTTGTACGGTAAAAGAGAATCAATGAAATGTTAATATTATGTAAATTTTTTGTTTTTCCATTGAATATCCTGAGGTAGGTAGTTATTATTTTGGGGAATTATAGAAATAGAACATAAACAAAAAATCTTAGAAACACATCTCAATTTAAGGTTTAGAAAAACAAATCTTACAAACACAGGTGCAAATCCAAACCCATCAGTTTCTTGAATACAAACCCAAACACATACCTAAATAAAAAATCAAAATGAGGTAAAATGATGAAACCTTTTGATACTTGATGATCGGAGTGAATTGAGCTGCCAGAATGAACAATGGCAACCGAGCTGCCCAAGATATATTTTACCTATTTCAGTGAGATAGATTTTAACCTTTTTTGGTACCCAAAATAATTTGAAAGATCTCATGCTCAACACTAATTTAGCAAAAAGATTTACTCATCTTCCTTCTAGTAAGTGAAAAGGGCAGCACATTCAAATTCCTCTCCAAATGCTCTTCACAGCCATGCCTCACTCTACATTTGCCTCTGTTGCATATTTGCCTCTGTTTTCACAGTTTTGTCTCCTTTCTTTCTTCCATTTCTGAATAAAAAAAAAAAAAAGTCTATGTCATCATTGTTGTGTAATTGAATCACATATATCAATTTCAAATGCAATGGTGTAGCAAAACTCAACCTTCCAACTTATACCAATGAGTACCTCATTACACCCCAATCTCACATATGATGTGCTGCAATTCATCCTGGAGAGAACAAACCACCAAACAATAATTAGAGCTACAAAGAATCACTATTGACCCCAAAAAAGTTCAAATTCAATCAACTCTGAAACAGAGACCCAAAGGTAGTTTCTTTACCAATCTACCCATCTCTAGAAGGTGCTGCTATTGCCACCACCAAAACAAAGCCACCATTTGTCGTCGACTACCTCTTTGGTTCATTAATGATCGCATGGGCTTTGTTGCCAATCTCAGCCATCTCTCCGAAAACACACTGTTTGTAAAACCTTCCATTATAACAACAAAATGGTTGTTCTAATATAATTGACTATTAAAAAAAGAACAATTATATTTCACTTTTGGAATTTTCAGATTGTATAACACATATACAGTGTTTTGATAATATATCCAGATCAAAAATTGAAATTTTGTGCATGAAAAAGATTCAAAAACTTTTGGACTCAAATTCTGAAAATTCCAAAAGTGGAGAAGAGAGAGGTTGTTGGTAGAGATGTTAGGGTTTTGAAATTAAAGAGAAGAGATAGAGATAAAGTAGAACTAAACTAACCTTCTTCAAAATCTAACATCAAGAGTGAGAACGAAGCCCTTATGGCGATTGGAGATGGGTGGTGTGCCTAGAATCAGTTGGAGGAGAAAATTACGGCGATCGGAGATGGGTGGTGAAATGGGAGAGAGGGCTTGCAGCAGTCGGGGTTGGGAAGGACGTAGGTGAGTTGCGGTGGGAGAGAGGTGAAGAGGAAGGAAAAGTAGATCTGAGAGGAAGGAAGAAACTAAAGAGAGAAGGTATGGTGCCAATGGTGAGAGAGATTAGGAGTGGGATGGTGAGAGGAGCAGTGGGAGATAACAATTTTCACTTGCATTATATGAATTTATAATTACTTTTCCCATTTGCCATTTATATATGAAATTCTCCTTATATATATTATGAAGTATCTCAATAATTGTTTTTTAGAAACGCATAAACTGATCACACAACATGACATTGAATGAATATGGATAGACAATAATTTCACAAGTGAATCCCGCTAACAAATTCTGAAAAAAAAAAATAATTATTTCTTGTGTTCTGATAAGTCTAGAAATACAAAACTCAAAACATGACACAATGATATGAACGGACAAGATTAATGAAAAGTGAGGGAGTCACTAACAAACTTTTACATAAGTATGTACAAGGAATTTAAAAGAATTAATCACCTGTATGCAAGTGTAACAATCATCAATGAAGTTGTTATCATCATGGACAAACACAAAACAATCAAATCACCTCCCACCATGCAATAGCATCTCTTCCACCATGCTATCAACCCCAGCTGTTGTTCTGTTTTGCTTCTATAACCTCCAAGTACATATCCAGTTGATGCCTTACCACGCATGTTCTCAGTCTCCTGCATAATTCAAACCATTTTTAGATATCTTTTTCCTATTGAACCCCTCCAGTTCCATCGCTACTTCCTTCATATAAGGCCTTTCCTCCCCTTTTACTCTCAAGCATCTCTTTGCAAGATTAGCAACTTCTTTGAGCGCCTAAGTGTTTCCTTCAATTACCATGTGTTCATTAATAATTTGGTTCAACCAATCATTGTTCATACAAGTAATAAAATACATAGCTAGATTTCTCTCATCTTCTGGCCTGTTGAATGACAATGCCTTCTTTGCAGTGATTAACTCTACAAGGACTACATCGAAGCTATAAACATCACTTTTCTCAGTCAACTGGCTTGTGAGCATGTATTCAGGGTCTAAGTATCCAAGAGTTTCTAGCACCACTGTGGTTAATTGATTTTGGTTTGGTAGAACCAACCTTGATGCTCCAAAGTCCGACACTTTTGCAATGTAATTGTCGTCTAAGAGTATATTTGTAGACTTGACATCTCTATGGATGATAGGAATCGACGCTGCAGAGTGCAAATATAACAGTACTCCAGCAGTTTTTGCAGCTATTCGCAAACGATTTTCCCATGATATATTAGATGCCTTGCTTTGGTTATGTATATGCTCAAAGAGAGTGCCATTGGTGATGAATTCATAGACAAGTAAAGGGACTTGAGTTTCCAAACAACAACCTAAGAGTTTGACCACATTCCTGTGATTGATCTGTGAAAGCACGACCACCTCGTTGATGAATTGCTCTATTTGACTTTCATCCACCATTTGGGATTTCTTGATAGCCACTATCTTGTTTTCTGGTAGAATTTCCAAAACCTCCTCGGCTAGCAATTCTACTTTCATCATAGTTGTTGGTAGCCCGCATGAGCTCTTCTGAAGTGAAGATTGTGACCAATTCTCGTGTTGGTTTGTCTTGTCTAGAGAGTTGTTGTTGCAACATCAATCCACCATTCTGCCTAAAGAATTGTTCTCTAATTTTGATGAGCTTTCTTTTCCTAAAAATCCAGTACAACCAAGAGCTACTCACCAAAACAACCGTTCCACTAACGGCGAAACCTACATTTCAAATTAGTTTTTTTTTTTTTTTTAACAAAGATTGCATCTGGCAAATATTTTGGTTTAAAAGAATCAAAATGAAGGATTGCAAAAATTTTACACTAGAAGAACGCAACAGTTAGTAATTGAATGATCCCAATTATATGACAAATCAGCGTACCTATATGATTGGGTGAAAATTGAATACAAGGTGATACCACGCGTTATCAGTGGCACGTGGTATCAGCAATCAATAAAAAAACTATATGAGAGGGATGAACCATTTTTTAGGATGCCACATATACGTAGCAGGAAAAATAGCAATTAATGATTGGATGGTGATACCATGTCATTGGTATCACAATTATGTTCAATTTTTTCTCTATATGATCTCAGTTTTGACTTAGTGAACTGACTTGTAAACCAATGTAGAATCACCTATTGACTCGAATGAATAATGTATACACAAGAAATTACATGCACACAACAAATAGACGACACCCAAAGACTATAGGGGAAGCAAGTACAGGGTGCTACTATGTTAAAAAAATATGCATTATGCATTTATGATTTCAACTGACAATGACATTATTGGTTCGAACAAGAAAGCCACACTACACATGATCCAAGTATTTCACACACACACACACACACATATATATACACACACACTTATCAACCACAAGCTGAATCACCAGAAATTGATCAGCAGTGCAACCATTTCCATCCATTCTGCCATCATTGTGGTATCCCTTGGGGCAAGAACACATATAATTTCCTGGCGTGTTAACACATTTATTTTTAAGTTCCCACATATTGACATTTGGATATTCACATTCATTTATGTTTGCAAAACAATCAAAAGTGGCTCCTATTAGGGTAGCACCAAAAGTAATAGGTAAATATTAGTCACCTGCATTTCACTATTTTATTTCATCTCTTATATGTATTCATATAGTAATAAATTTTGCGTGTACATATAGGATGCATAATATATGGAAAAAAAAATGGAACCTACCGATACCATGACATGGAAAATCACAAAAGAAGTAAAAATATTTTAAAAAATATTCAGATGACATAGAATCAAAAGTAAATGAATCCAAACATGATGAACCTATTACCTTGGCAACCATTTAAGAGGTACGAGTTTCCTTGGTAACCTGGCAAGCACATGCAAATATAATCACTAGTGCTAGGACCATCATCTGGCTTATAACAATCACTATTTTGTCCACATGCATAACTCGTTTGATTTCTTTTAGCCTCTTCGCACGTAAAAATATTACTCCTTATTGTCCAATCAACCACCATATGCATATTTTCTTCACTAAAATCGCCGAGGTAACTTCTGGAAAAATTAAATGCATCGTCTTCAACAACAAAAGCATAACTATAGGGATTAAAGTCGAATACTTTCCTATGAGTGGCGAAGCTCGCTAGGGAAATGTCAGCCTATGCCCCTCCGTTTGGGAGGGAGCTTTGGCAACACCCAAATCCAGAGCAATTTCCATCAGGAATGTAGCCACGTGTGCTACATGCAGACACACACCCAGTTGTAATAAAATAATTGTGTGCTACTCCAGGAACTTGGATACTTGTACGTGTGTCACAACCAATAGGCAATAGCAGTGAACTTGTTTTCGGTATTAGATATGGTGAATTTAGGCAGCTCAAGCGATGTTTTGATGTTGCTTTGTAATGGTGTACCTAACTGGTCATAACAATCACGAGATGTTGACTGCATGATGCGTAACTCACCCTCCTCGAGGCATATATCTGAAATAGTGATATTGGTCTTCCCAATATATGGCTTGGACTGATTACTAGTAATGAGGAAACCTTCTGGGATGCTTACATTTCTGCAAAGGTCCATGCAGCCAAGATTTTTCAGATCTGCAATTGTTGGTGGTGCTGCAACTGCTGATGACAAAATCATTACCCGAACTACTACTATCATGATGAGTTTTACTAGCATTGCTTGTGAGGCCATGGCTGGTTTCTTTCCAGCTTCTTGGCACCCGCTTTTGTGTGTTCCAGAGCATAGAAATTCATTGGAACAAATATGTAAACAAATTCATTGGGGCTATGTACTTGCATGGTCCAAAAAAAAAAAAGAATAATATGAAAAATCACAAAATGCTATCAATTGAGCATACAGCCATGTGGTATCCTCATAACAGAACATATTTATTTATTTTTTGACTGGCAAGTTGTGAGCAGTAAAGTCCTTACAAACTCCATCTCCACACACCAAATTTACTAAATTCTGATTATCCTCTGCCCATTTTGTCTCCTGTAATAATGCAAAATCAACTTCCCTTGCTGCAAGTAACCTTCTAATTTCTCTCCTTAACTTCATTGAAACAAATAGGCAAACACCCCTAGTGCAATAGTGCACTCAGAACTACTCATCAGCCCCTCCCTTTTCAAATGACCTCATCTCATTTTCCTACGTTTGACCAATCCTACCCAAAGCTTCCTTTTTACCATCACTAAAATCCAAATCCAACATCTTACCAATTTCTATCACTGATTCTGCATCTTCCCTAATCCGCCTAATCCCATTATGAATGATCTGTGAAGAAACTGATAGATTCATGTTACCCTCCTTTCTCTTTGTCTTGCCTTTTGTTAATGTACATTGTATAATTTACCATCACCTACCACACCCTTACCATCACCTACCACACACTCACCTACTACACTCACCTACTACACTCACCTACCACCACCTACTCCCTACACCTACATCTATATAAGGAACCCCTCATTTGTAATGCAGATATACAACAAGCATACATTATTCAATAATACAATTTTCTATACATCTGTTTTAACACCTTTCTTCCTCATCTTACTATACTTTCCACCATTACTAGAATCTAGAGAAGTCACTGAAAATAAGATTATCAGTTACCCAAAAATTATCAACAAATCATTTTAGGTGAATTTCACTTTTTATCTTCTAAACTATCACCATTTTTTTATTTTTTATTATTTGATCTCTAAACTATCAATTTTATCCATTTAGTCCCTAAATTTTTGAATTTATCTTCATGTCATCTAATTGGAGATGATTGTACAAATTAGTAACTTTTGATTTCCTACCTCAAAAGAGAGTATTAGAACCTTGTTAGGAAACTTTTTTGAGTGAGGCAATCTCACGAGGAGGGAAGTTGTGAACCAAAAGGAAAGTTGTAGGGGAGAAAAGATGTGGAAAGAAAAGGGAAGTTGCAATAGGAGAGAAGATGTGGGAAATTAGGGATGCTCAGGGTTCGGTTGCGGTTGGAAAACTTCCAATCTGCCATCCATCGCTTGGATTGACGGATTGAAAAAAAAATCAATTCGCATGTCTGTCGGATTGGCAGATGCGGATTGAGCGAATTGATAGATTAATAGATGAATGCGAATCGATTTGACGGTTTAAATTTTTACAAATTTTGAAAATAATATAATAACTTGTCAACAGTTTTTTATTTTATTTATAACAATCCAACTCAAGATAACCAAAAGATTATCAAGTAAATTGTCAAATATTAATAATAAATACATATAAGAAAATCATGCATTATCAAAATTATTTCATTATTTTTTTTATTCAAAAACTATTCAATTTGTTTTTTTTTTAAATGACAAAATTAAGGCTTACATTTTCTATACAAAAATACCAAACATCAACAGTTATTATTTGATAAAAGGATTTTCAAATTGAAAACAAAACAGAATATCTAAATTCTTTTTCAATTGAAAACACAAATATAATATTTAAACAAATTAAAAACACAAAATTTTACAAACTCTTAGGGTGCTTGCGGTTTAGCAATTCGGTTATGGACAAAAATCTAAAATCCACCATCCATTTAAAACTAGACGGATTAGAAAAAATCAATTTATAATCATCTGTTCGTTATCATGCATCTGTTCAAAACATAGTGAATTAGTTCCGTTCGATGGATTTAGATGGGCCAAAATATCAGCTAATGACCCTATGGAAAATTTGTGAATGATTTTACTGGAGGGACTTTCTGCTTACTTTTGGAGAGAGAAGACCCCAAGTCGGCGTTGCAACAAAAAAAGACCCTTTACAATCAAAATTTAAAAAAAATGAAATAATTGAAAGGTTCTGTAAAAAATTAAAAATAAATAATAATAATAATAATAAAGCTGTGAGAGATTCTGTGAAGTTTCTAGTCATTATGATTGACGTCCATCTGATGAGGGCAAAAAACTTGAGTCAATTGTTGATTGCGTAGTGTCTAACACGACCCTCGTGAGGAGGGTCCACGATATGTGGATTGTTGCCTTTTGGGACCCTCCAAATTTATTATTCACCCACCGCCCATGTGCATAATAATCCTCTCCATTCTAACCCATTTTTAATGCAAAAATAAATTATATGAAAAAATAAAGTACAAATTACATAAAAATAAATAAATAAATAAACATGTTTTGCAAATTAAACCTCAAAGTTTCAATTTTAACAATTTAAATTTTATGTTTTAAATCATATAATCAAATACCTATTAAATTGGTTGTGGGGTATAATTTGTTCAAGTTAAATAAAAAAAATGAATATTTTGTGATATGGTAAGTTGTTCAAATTCTAAAATAATAATTTTATTTTATTTTATTTTTTTTTTTTCCCCATCAAAATAGGCTTCACAATTATTGATTTGTATAGTCATTGAATCACATTAACAGAAATTAAAACTTTAAGAACTAAATATACCAAAAACCATAATCTAAGGATAATATAGGAAAAATAGCAATTGCAGATGCTTCAAAATCACTCAAACATTAAAAAAATAAAATCAAATCAAATCAAAACAGAAAAACAAACAAACAAAAACAAAAACAAAAAAATCAAAAATAAAAAACTAATAAGGCAATCCAATAACCATAATCACATCAATGAAAGAGTATAGATGCCTACCTCAAAAGAGAGTATTAGAACCGTGTTAGGAAACGTTTTTGAGTGAGGCAACCTCAGGAGGAGGGAAGTTGTGAACCAAAAGGGAAGTTGTGAACGGAAAGTTGCAATAGGAGAAAAGATGTGGGAAATTAGGGGTGCTTGCAATTCGGTTGTGGTCGGAGAACTTCTAATCTGTCATCCGTCTGTCGGATTGACAAAT